TTGTCGGCACGCTTATGACGTTCGCGCTTTTGTCGGGTCACGCAATAGATGTCCATTCTTGCAAGCATCTTATTAACATCCGTTATAAAAGCTGGGTTGTTTTTGGACACTACTTTCATTGCAGGCAGTCTTTCTATTGGTAGTTCTGCACATATCACATTTTTATTTTTTAAATCTTCTTGTTTGGAGGTCAGTTTACAGTTTGCTACATTGCTGGCCTGTACTGATTATGTTGTTATTACTTCTTCTGAGTTATCATTTATGTAGTTCATATCAGCTGCTTCCTCTATATTTATAATTGTTGTTCCTTCAACTGTTCTACTACTGTTTTGGATCTTTCATTTTCACGCAAAGAAATTTGGAATCTCTTCCAGTTGTGCATCCCTGAATAATTTATTTCTGGTAATGAGCTTCCTTTGATCTGCTAATAATTGCTCAGTGATAACTGATTCTCAATAGAGTTAGATGATCATCATTCTTATTTCTATTTAGGGTTGCAACAGATGTGTTTCAACAAGAAAGAAGGTAATAAATCAATTTGCTAAATATTATTTTAAATTAGATAGTAAGCATACTGAACCAAGAGCAGATGGAAAAATATCTAGCTATGGTTCAATTTATAAAATTAAATGAATGATATGAAATTTTTGGTATATCAATTATTGAACCTGAAACATCTGTCTTTCAACCATCAATGGCAATCATTTCTATTTTATTTCAGCATATTCTTCTAAGAAAGGGGGGGAAGAAAAGGGAAAAAATAACACATGTCTAGATTCGTCTACTAAAAAGGTTATGAAAGAGATATGATTTACAATAGGAAAATGTACATAACTACATATTATGGTATGTTTCGTGTAAAATCTCTTTAGAAGGAAAGTTGCATATAGATATTGATTTTTGTATAATCTGCTTCCCCTTTCCATTCACTCTCCTGATCACGGTTCTTTAGCTCACTCATCCAGCTGTGCTACCCATCTCTCATCATGCCCCTTGTTAGTACTTTGAAAATCACGAAGAGTCACTGGTGATAATTTAACAATATTAATGAAAGCTACAGAACAGCTAAATTATCCAGGAAAATATTCTTGGCATGCTAAGAAAACAACACCATATCTGAAAACAGTATCCTTATCATTTGTCCTGAAATATATGGCAGTCTATGCTAAAAGTAAACAATCACAAGATTCTGCTCTACTTAATAATATAGGCATCTATAATAGGACTGTGTATGCTTCAAAAATTATTTGGAACATATGTTTTGGATCTTGCACAAGCACAATCTCTCTCATCCCTAAAAAAGATTCTGACTTTTCATAGGGTTTCATATTAGCCTGGGGGAAAACCTCACTGCTTTAAGGAATCTATTAATTAAAATGAATTTGTAGCAGATGAACAGGCAGAGTCTGAAGGAGGGGGGGGGGTCAAGCACATCATTAGTTTAGAATCACTTTTCATTCACAAGAGAGCTAAGTTCAGCCCCATTTGAATTCCAGTAGGAATTCTACCAACAATTTACCTTGACTGTTAGTAGTTCAGATTCTTGTTTAAAAATAGTTTGTATCTTTATTCATTTAGGAACCAACTCAGGCTCCCAATTTTTTGTGCTTGACAGAACTGAAATTAAAGCATTGGCTTGCTCAGAGACCACAGCTCAGCAAACAGACATTTAAACACAAACACACCACTAAAAAAATGCTGGCCATAAGCATCATAAACATTACAAAGGCTGAATCAGTATGCATATCAGGCTGCATCCAGATGAGCAAGGGGAGACACACATGCTACTTTTGTATATTTAATTAAAACATGTGAAATGCCATCATACATGGTGGATTTTATGGGCCAGGAAATGCTCACAAGGCTTAAATAGGGTTATTGGCAGAGAAAGATATATACTTTCAATAACCAGTCAGGAATTTCTGCCTCCAATTTTTTCCTCTTGTGACTTAATAACTTGAAATTTCTTATCTGATTAACCACCAGCCTTGTATAATCCTATTGCACAGATGGCGGCTTCAAAGAATTTGGTGTAGGCCTGTACTCATGAGGCAAAGAAACATTTCCAAAGCAATTAAAAATGAAGAAGTGCCTAAAGGTGATGGATTTAAGAACTTTTCCTCACGACATTTTCTGATCAGCCTGAATGTTTACATAGATTTTTTTTTTTAAAAAAAGCACCTTGAAGACCAGCAAATTCAATCTTTGGCAAATATTTCCTTAAGCCAGAAAATGTTCTTGGAACAGATGTACTTGATAGCCATTATATATGGTTTTTGGATAAGGAGGAAGAGGAAGAGAGAAAAATGGAGTAGGTGTATCTTCACTAGGGTACCCATGGACATTAAATATATTTTTTAAAATAAAATATATAAACATTCTTTTAATTATATTTAACATTTAAGCTAACCTGCAAAGCAAAATAGCAGCCTCCAGAATCAGTTCTTTTATATCAAAGGATACCTGTGGGTATATTTGTTTTGTTAGATTTATTATTCCCTGCAATCAAAAGTTTCTTGGCAGTTCACAGCATGACCTAAAGAACAATACAATAAAAGACCTACCAGATATCATTTGAATAATTTCTAGTGGGGAAAAAAAAACAATCTCTCTCATGGCAAAATGAACAAATGGATTACAGTAGATGCATTTTCTAACAGTGGTAGAGTTGGAAAATGAAGATTATAGGCAGTGGTGAGATCCAAACATTTTTACTACTGGTTCTGTGGGTGAGGCTTGGTGGGCATGGTGTGGCTTGGTGGGGAATGGCTTGGTGGGCATGGCAGGGGAAGGATACTGTAAAATCCCCCTTCCCTCCTGATCATATGTGACTCAGGAGGCAGAGAATAGATGGGGTGGGGCCAGTCAGAGGTGGTATTTACTGGTTCTTCAAACTACTCAAAAGTTCCGCTACCGGTTCTCCAGAATTGGTTGGAACTGCTGAATATCACCTCTGATCGTAGGACTGTACATTTCTATTTTATTTGCAAAAGTGCCCAATTGCTTGGTGGTGGGGGTGGGCAGGAGAATAAAATTACTAACAATGAGTGTCCAAGGAGCCTACAAAATATGTAACAACCTGATTCTGGCAGACATATTATATGGCAGGTTTTTTTAAATTGTTTGTTCTTAAGTTTTACAACATGCTCAGCAGTCCAAAAGAAGCTGGGTGTAGGAGAAGGTGTGGTCAAACCTGGGATTGGAGTTAAAAGAGGGATCAGCCTAGAATCCCTACATAGCCACAAATAGAGTGCACCATCTATTGAATCCCATTGACCCTTATCTAACTCAAGGCAGGTGCTAACCCTTAGCTGAGAAGATTCCTGCATAGACACAACTAGCAATAAATCAATACATCAATTAAGTTGGACTTTCACATGTAGATCCGGTATTTTATGTTTGATTCTGGGATTCTAATTATTTTTTTAAGTATATTATTCATCTTTTCTTTCATTCCAAGGGAAATCTTTGAAGATCATATCATTTGAAGCTTGCAAAATATTGGGCTTTAATATTTTTATTCTTCTCCTCCCTCACCCCCCAAAAGACACAACAGAGAGGATACCATTAGAAATAGAGACTTCACAAGAATGATGTTTATTCATTCATTGGCTGTCAGTTACCTTCATTTGTTCAGTTGGCTCAATTTAAGGGAACTCAATGGTTTGATGCGGGTGGGTTGCTGCTGGCATCCGGTTTGACGGGCAAAAAATGAATGTGCACATTTGCACCTAATAAGGTCTGTGCATGCACAAAAGGTTAAAAATGTAAAAAAAATACATTTCTGTAATGGAAATTGTGCATGCGCAGAAATGAAAATAAAAATGGTGGTGCCGTAGGAATACTGGCAGGTTCGGGGCCATTGTCAGTTCCAGCGACCAGCCCACCAAGTTACTACTAGTTCAGCCCAACCAGTATGAATTGGTAGAAACCCATCTCTGATTTAATGTTAAGGAAATCCCACTCCCTACAAAAAAGAATATTATTTATTTTTTTAGGAATTATATCCTATTCTTTTTCTCCCTCCCTTATTTGTTCTTCCATGGCATTCGGAATGATCAAAGATTGTAACAAGGGTTATCCATCACATGAAATAGAATCATTCTTATAAATATGATCTTAAATCCAGAATAAAATCAAATGAAAATGCTGAATACTGCATTTTTGTTCATCCTCCCACCCCCCAAAAAATAACAAATCAGTTTAGTATCACTTTTTTAAAAAAAAGATACCAAGAAATGTAAAATGATCTCTCTGGACCTGGAAAGATATCAGACACCAATCAAGCACAGGTATGAAAAGGCCACTCAAAAGATTTCTGTAATGCTATACTTGTAAAATTAAAGAAATCAGAATAGTTTAGATTTAGTCATATGGGAAGAGGAACACTGGATGATGTCCATTAACTTAAGTTTATTAGAAAATTTATGAACACAACATTGAGAAATTTTTACAGTAGCTGCCTTGAAGCTTAACTGTCTGGTACAGTTAAACAAAGTGGCGCAGTATGCAGAAGTAATTGATGAATAGTATCTCTAGGTCAGACACAGAAAAAACTTCCTTTTAATTGGTAATCTAGAAATCTCTGGACAGAGTTAATTTAACTTAGGTGGGAAAATGATCTGACTAAATTTAATGTTTAAGTTCTCCATGGGAGTAGGGGAACAAGCCAAACACAACTGGAGATTGGAGATGGTATGTCAGGTATCATGTACTACTGAGCCCTTTTGAGCCATGGTGGCACAGTGGTTAGAGTGCAGTACTGCACGCTACTTCTGCTGATGGCCGGCTGCCTAAAATTTGTCAGTTCAAATCTCACCAGGCTCAAGGTTGACTCAGCCTTCCATCCTTCTGAGGTGGGTAAAATGAGGACCCAAAATTGTTGGGAGCAATATGCTGACTCTGTAAACCGCTTAGAGAGGGCTGTTAATCACTGTAAATATAAGTCTAGGTGATATTACTATTGTTCAGCAGGAAGAATTGTGTTAAAGCAGGATTACCTTATAGAGCTTGAAGATCCATCTGGATCGTGGGCAGTCACCTGACCAATCACGGAGTTAATAGCAGCATTTTCATGCACTTCCAGTAGATACGTTGGTGATGAAAAGATTGGGGGTTCGTCAGCATCTTCCACTACAATTTTTAATGTTGCCGTATCCTTAAAGGGTCCCATGCTGATGAAACGTGGATCAATATAGACATTACTTGCTTCTACCTTCAGCGTATATGAATTTTTGGTCTCAAAATCCAAGGGCTGTTAAGAATGAGAAAGACAAAAGCTTTTTCTAGATGGTCACAATGGCAAGAACAAGACAATGCAGTGACAATACATCGGCTTCTCCTCCATTTCTTGACTTTAGTGTAATCCCTTTTCCCTTTCTTTTCTCATGGCTGCAAATTTTATGAGGGTTTATTAATGTCTCATTTATTTTGTAAGCCTCAGTGAAACCCCACCAAATTGGAGATTTGCTATCTCCATTAAAAAATTTTTTAAAGAAAACAACACCACATATAAAGGTTTCTCACTTGGAATTTTTTCTTTTCTTTTTCTTTTGCTATGGAAAGATATTTTTTTTTGTACTGCTAATGACCTACATTGCATATTAATAACTCAGCTAATTGTCATTCTGTTCACTGTAGTTAAGGAGCAAAGAGAGTGAAATGAGCAAGTTTTATGTGGCAGAAGAATTCTATCATTTGCAGAAATGGTGTGTGTGTGTGTGTGACACACCAGACTGAAGGTATTGTTCTTTGATTAAGATCAAACAAGTCAGAACAATGGAGATCTAGTTATATGGGAAGAGGAACACTCTGGTATACATTTAACTGAAGTTTATAAGAATAGTTGTGTATCATAACCATCAAGACATTTTTACAATATCTCTCTTGAAGCTTAACTTTCTGGTATAGTTAAACAAAACAGCATTAGAGGGATGGACACATTTTAAAGGTGTGCAACACACATTGAGCTTTGCTTGGGATTTAACACATTGGAATTAGCAAAAATGAAAACATTCACGTCTGAGAGGCCAACTACATTCCGATCCAAATTATAATAATTCCAGTTCCAAAAAGGCAAGAACATAATAGTATATATAACAGGAAAGGCCTCTGCCTAAAATCCCTATGAGTAATAACAACAACAAACCTCTGAGAAAGAAAAAGAAAAGAAAACACTCTTTTCTTCATGGCATAAGTGAGTTTCAAAATTACATTTAAAGTCCCCATTTAAACATGGCCCATGTTCTTTTTTCCTGGCTTAAAGAGACCCGACTATTGGTTTTATGAGACTTTAGAGTTGGTCATTGAGAGCACAACTTGCAAGGAAATTCTTTGGCTGTTAAGTTGAAGCTCAAAGAATTAAGAAGGTGAATATTGTTGTTTTTTTAATTATTGAGAAACAGATGGAGGGCAGCTTTAGAGATTTAAGCAATGTGATGTTTGTTTTGATAGAGGTTTAAGGCCTCCTTCTCATTAGAATCACAGGTTTTAGAGAGTTACCTTGAAGAGAAGAGTTGTTAAGTGCATAAATCATGATTATATTGGTGAGTTAATTAGTCTGCCTCTTCACCTTTGTTCCCGAAACACTAAAGAACAGGTCTTTATTCCTTATTATTATTCTTGGTCATAGAGTCAGCCAGATGTATAGATTGGACTTGGCATTCTCATTTACCTATCAACTTCCTAAGGGCCTGCGGTAGGCAGAATAGAGTTGTTTGATAGGGTTAAGCTGTTCCTAATAAAATTGCCTTTTGCAAGTGACGGATGGTGATTTTGCCAACGCCAATGGGTNTGATGATGATGATGATGATGATGATGATGATGATGATGATGATGATGAACACAACAATGTGAAATTCTTCAACAATTTATCTTGAGATAAAACTCTGTCTCCATTTTTCTTATGACCTATGAGTATCACTACAGGGATATAATGCATAGTGAATAGCCATCAGGTTGTTGTTGTTGTTTTGTTGTTGTTGTTGTTGTTTTTCAGTCCAAATAGTCCACTTCAACTTGTGTCCAGTTAATAATTCCACCACTGTTTTGTATTGTACATCCATAAAGCTTGGATGTTATTTCTGACATTCATTTTTGTCTTTAGCAATTTTCTCTCTCTTGATGTACTCAAAGATGGTGTTCTTAGCTAATCAGATTTTTGACTTGCCCGTGCTTGATATTATCCAGCTATGAAATGGCCAGATAATTGTAGGTTTCTGATGGCGTCCTGATGGCGCCTGATGGTTTGCTTATACGGCAATTCAATTCCATTAGTGTTTGTGATTTTATACCAATTTATTGCTACTGTAGCAAATTTCTCTATACCAAATTCCATTGCTGAATCTGTGCTAAAAATTCTCATGGTGCATGTCAAAGACTGGATTTCAATTTTAGATTTTTCCAAACAGCTTCAGATTATGCATATAAAGGAAATGTGAGATTTTATTTGGATTGTTGCTATTTGAGAGCCAACATTTGTTTTCTTCAGAATCACTGAAAGTAGGATCACAGCAAAAAGCAATTACAAATAATAAGGGTGGTAATGAATCACCAGGCAGATGCCTCCCCTAATGTTGATAAGGACTAATAAAGGCTTTATTTTTTTTTTCATTTCCAACCATCAATTCTTTCTTCTACTGCTTCCAGTTTAATGTTTTTATTGACGCCAGTTGTTTCCAAACTTCTGATGACCCAACTATGCGGCAATGAACCAAATACGTTGGTACAATTGCCTCTGGTTTCACTGAAATAGCTGATTTTAGTTCAGTTGGATGATTTGTGCCTCACAGCATTCAATTTTTCCAAGTTATTGCTGTTATTTGTTGTTTTATGATTGCCAAAGCTTCAACAACTTTTCCGGTGCTGAGCCAATATTTTGTTTTAATTAGACTTGTATTGAGAGCAGAGTCTCTATATTTTTTTTGTCTTTCACATTCTTTAAATTACTCACATCTGACCTTAATTTCTTTACCTCGGTCTCCAGTTTGATCTTCCACTTTGGGACTGAATATAACTTTGCTTTTAGTTTTTTTGAATTTCAATTCCCATTATTGTTGTAATGGGAATAATCATCTTGCATCATTGCAAGATGATTAGTCTGTTCAATAGATCAGTTCCACCACAAATGCGCGCACAACAAAAGCGCGCCTGACTAAACCGCGNTGTGTGTGTGTGTGTGTGTGTGTGTGTGTGTGTGTATGGGATTGTGTACATATGCATATACAAGTATTCTTTCTTAAAGAAGAAGAATGCTGAAATGAGAAAGATCCAAGAACCATTAGCCACCAAAGTTTTGAAAGAAACCAAGCGCAAGTTTGGAAGTGTGGAAAATATCCTCCTTTGAATTGGAAGGTATAATATTAAAAAAAAAAAAAAAAAAACCACCATGGAGAAAATATGTCTAATGAGATTCTCAGTCATCCAGGTCATGGTTATCCCAAAGATACTTTTTTTAAAAAACTTAGATTGGAGATAGACAATTTTTATATCTATTTCCAATCTATAACATGGTCCATTCAACAGTTCCAAGAAGGCTCCACACCCATTTGCACCACTCAGGTGATTCTGATGACACAGATAAACCTCCAGGTGACCTTAATGACTTGCTAAATAATGCAAATGTCCAGTGGTCTGCAAGGAGTATAAATCTTTCCATGACCCACCATCCAGTCTTCAAAGCCGAAGAAGCTCCTTGAACGAGAAGCGAAACATCTTCAAAGAAAAAAAACCAGGAAGTCTAGTTGCCTCTTCAGAAAGCATATTTGGGATGGAGAATATATTATTAAAAAAATAAACTAATTGACATGAACCTATGGCTTTAATGTGCGAATTAGGGCTTGGTTCTTTTCCTTACATGACACCCTTCTCCAGCTGTTCACACATCACTAAACTATGCAGTTCATCACAACTCCTCTCAGTTGCAAATTACATTTTTCAATGAATTTACTTTATTTGAATTTACTTTATTCAGTCAATGGACTGTATATATTTGAGTTTAGCATGATTTTGAATAAAACCATGCCAAGGTGCCTATAATTCATAACATTTTAGTATGAGGTACTTGGTTCTGCCTGAGATTGCTTGACTTCTTGCAGATGTTTCATTAACCAAACTATGTAACATTATCAGTGCTAGTGTAGCTATTGTAGGTCCAGAAAACACCAAGGACCCCTCATTTCAACCCTCAGCTGCAAATATTTTCCTTTATTGGTACATTTCAGTATTGTCAAGTGCCAGGGAAATAAGGAGATTCAGTTGGTTCAAATGAGTATAAAGGTTTATTGTGAACTTAAGCTCTCTACAAGAATCTGAACTACTAATGTTCAAGGTAAATTAATGGGAGTTAAAAATACAAAGGAATTCAGGGTGGGCTGGACTTAGATTGCTTATGGGCATGAAGGGACTCATGATTGATGATGTGTTTGACCCCTTCCTTGGGCTCAGCCTGGTCATCAGTGTGCAGTGTGCAGCAGCTGCCAAAAAAACCAACACAGTTCTAGGCTACATAAACAGAGGGATAGAATCAAGATCACGTGAAGTGTTAATAACACTTCATAATGCCTTGGTATGGTCACATTGGAATACTGCATCCAGTTTTGGTCACCACGATGTGAAAAAAGATGTTGAGATTTTAAAAAGAGTGCAGAGAAGAGCAACAAAAATGATTAGGGGACTGGAAGTTAAAACATATGAAGAACGGTTGCAGGAACTGGGTCAGAGGTGGGTTGCTCCTGGTTTGGCCTGGATCAGGCAAACCGGTAGTAGTGGAGGGAGGCTCCACCTACCCGCCCAGACACTTCTGCACATGTGCAGAAGTGTCGTGCATGCGGGCCTGAACTGGTAGTAAAAAATTGGCAACCCACCACTGAACTGGGTATGTCTAATTTAATGAAAAGAAGGACTAGGGTTGACATGATATCAGTGTTCCAATATCTCAGGGGCTGCCACAAAGAAGAAGGAGTCAAACTATTATCCAAAGCACCTGAGGGTAGGACAAGAAGGAATGGGTGGAAACTGAGCAAGGAGAAAAGTAACTTAGAACTAAGGATAAATTTCCTCACAGTTAGAACAATTAATCAATGGAACCAATTGCCTCCAAAAGTTGTGAATGCTCCAACATTGGACATTTTTAAGAAGATGTTGGATATCCATTTGTCAGAAGTGGTGTAGGGTTTCCTGCCTAAGCAGGGAGTTGGACTAGAAGACCTTCAAGGTCCCTTCCAACTTTGTTACTCTAAGTATTTAGCCAACTTT